TTATGGCAGCCCACTGCATCAGGGGACTGCAGCCTACGCCATTGCCAGCGACTCATGGCAGCCCAGCTCCAGGTTGAGCTGTTGTTCAGCATCTTAGCTGTAGAGGGCAGTGTCACTGGCCCTCATATTTGGGATCCGAACCGGGGTCCTCTGGCGTCCCAAGCCAGTTCTTAACCATCGCACCACTCGGCCGGCCCTATAGTTTCTTTTAATTGCATGTTGAAACATATTCAATGAAGATAACTTGAAGAATAAAATGAAACACAAAGAGAAAAACAAAATTACTCATAATTTTACTGTAAATGATTATGTCTACGTGTGAGCATGTGTGCTTTTTCTCATGTTTGTGTATTCATTTCATTATATATTTTTATAGATTCATTTTATTTATTTATGCAATAGTGAAACATTTCCCAGGACAACAAATGTTCTTCTTCATTATGACTTTTGATCGTAATCATTTAATAGCAAGAGATTCCTTTTGTTGGAAATTTTGATTGATTTCAATTTTGGCCAAAGACTTCAATAAAGATTTCCAGGGTTAATTCTTAAAAGTGGTATTGTTGAATCAGAAGATAAGCTTTCAAGCTTTAGGTATTAGTAGAGTAGATAGCAGCCTTCAGCCTACGTTTTCAGGATTTGACAAGGGTCCCTTTAATTCACAAACTATTCTCATCCACTTTGCCGATGGCTGAAATTTTGTTATCACCTGTTGTTCCCTTGTAACACACAAGCACTCTTGGAAAAGGTAACTCATTGCTCCTGGCAGGCATTTACTTTGAACCATGTAAAGCAATTTATCTGGTAAGTTTAGTTCTTGCCAGTAAAGATTGGAAACAACTGGGGGTGGGCAGGGCCAGGGACATTAGTGTGCCGAGCAAGTGGAATGATAAACGGAAGCAAAGTATTCCTTCACTTCAATTCCGCTAAGATCAATCGAAGAACTATTACGTCAAATCCAGTATATTATGTACCTAGTTTTAGGAGTTTAAGTTATAATCTTTCTCTACAGTGACTGAGGATGTTTGTTAACTGTGAATGCTAATTAATCCAGTAGAGAGACTTATGGTCCCAGATATGGTGCATATATATGCGGGATAGAGATGCAAGAGGGAATTAATTAACTCCTAAGCAACCTTACTCTGTTTGAACACACTGTTTGCAAAGTGTGAAATTACTTCCTTAAGAGATGATGAGGATGCAGTGTGTGACTTTGGGTAGTTTGCAAAGAATCCTCTTTACGGTAGGGCCTCTGCTTCGTTAGACAAAATATTTATATCATTGAAATGTGTCCTTGAAAAACAGGTTGATAAAGAGATAACAGTGACAGACAAGGCCACTAAATAGATAAAAGTCATAGTGCTTGCTCCAGTCAGGAAACTGAGCTATGGCTACTTATCTTTTCCTCAGTGGAAACTTGTGTGTCAGATGATATGGGCAAGCCTGTGCTTCCTCTGCAGAAACTATGGAGAATAATAGATCTTTTAGAAATCATACACTGTGGTCTGTGTATGCCTTGTCTTTACTCAACCCTTAATCAAATATCTTCGGGATTTTAAAATCCCCGTCTATTATTATCAGACTGACTCTTTTTCTTATAATAGTGGGTAGCTAATAATATGCCCCTTGTGATATTTAAAAATAGTGATACAGCTCTCGTTACCACATCTATTAGCCCCAGATTTACTCAGCTCCGGTCTAAACTGGGCTCCTAGGCTTTTTAAAATTTATCATTTACAATCTGTAGACTCTATCCAGTTTTTCTAGTGTTGGCTTCTTAACCCATCAGCAAATGTAGACCATTGACAAATCAAGAAGATTCTTGAAACATATATGGCAATTAGAAAAAGACCTGCTGCAATAAATAAATAGAAGAAAATACACTTTTAACTAATCCTACTTCTCATAAATTTCTATATTCATGTGGGACTTTGGAGACAAGAGAATGGTCACTAAATATTTTAATTGATATACGTCTTTAAAACATGGTTTTATTGATTTGAAACTTAAAAGACAGATTCTAATACTGGCTTTACCTCACACTTCCTAACACCATTTAAAAACTGTCACTGCATGGTGACTTTCACTTACATAAAATGAATATTAAAAATATTAAAGTTATCCAACATCGGTACTAAGGATATCTATTTCTAGCCTTTTAGTCCTGTATGGAAATTTCTCTTTCTTCTCTCAAGTGTTAACTGATATTCTTTTGCCTCCCAAGCTGCTAGGATTTTGCATTTCTTTTAAGTTGATTTCCCCTCACTGATAAATAGATTGAGTTGTGAGATTATGTCCTTTTCATTTTTCACTGGAAGTGAATAAATCCAGAACTTTATTCTTGGTGACATTTATTTCAACTCATCAAGGGAATGCCACCCATGTCTGCCTGGGTTGCTGTACTTCAAATAGAATGTTGAGAATGTTTGTGTGTTAGAGTAGCTGTGCTATTTCTGTTTCCAAATAACTGAAAATGTGATGTGTGCCTCCCTTTTGGAGAGGGAAACCTCTCAACAATTTTTTATTTAGTTAATAAGGATTAAGCTCTTAAAAGAGATTAATGAAACTCACCAGTACTAGAATAGTTAGTCATTTTATTTTAAACTTACTTGATGTATAAATTTATAATTACCTTGCTCACATCAAGTCTGAGTTAAATTTTGACATAGAAGCCAATGTAGGGTAGCAAGGTAAATGCTTGTGTCCAATAAAAAAAAGACTAGTCCAAGGATTAAACCAGTTGACTCCTTCCAGGTCATAGACTTGACTGTCCTTGGGTTAAATATTCTTGTAGCGTCCAGTCAGCTCAGAGAAGATAGTTGCCCATGGCATGAAACATAGGTTCTAAACCCATCAGCAGGGCTGCTGGCAGGACTGTTTTCCTTAGAATGAGGTGTGGCATTTCAAATAAAGGAAGATGCCATCTGATACATTTAGATGGTGATAGAATGTGCATCAGACTCTATCTGTGAGAGCAAATAGTAATCAGTGGTAGTAAGGGGTGATTGTGGTTGAGAATCATATAGATAATATAGACCTTTGATGACTAATTAGGAAGAAATTGGCAATGCCATTGCTAAGGGGCTTTATGGTTTATTGACTCAATCCACATTTGTTGAACACTTTCTGTTTGCTACGTGTTGGGGCTATTGTGGTAAGCAGGCAGACCTGTCCTCCTGGGACTTCACGTACAGCGAGGATACGGATATTATACAATCACTCATATAAGTATGTCAATAAATGATAAGTACAAAGAAGTACTTAAGATGGTTATGTCAAGCGGACTGGGACTTTGATGGTGACGGTAGTAAATTATGATGTAAAAGTAACATAGCTATGTGGCTGACTTCCTTGCCTCCTACACCAAACCTTTCTTGCATGAACCTTGGATACTATTTTTCTTTTATCCTAGTCCTTAAGGCCTATTATCCTATCAAAAAGGGGTCAGTCGAGAGCAGCGGTTCTCAACCTGTGGGTCGCGACCCCTTTGGGGGTCGAATGACCCTTTCACAGGGGTCGCCTAAGACCATCGGAGAACAAAAAGATATTTACATTACGATTCATAACAGTAGCACAATTACAGTTATAGAGTAGCAACAAAAATAATTTTATGGTTGGGGGTCACCACAACATGAGGAACTGTATTAAGGGGTCACCGCATTAGGAAGGTTGAGAACCGCTGGTCTAGAGTGTGGTGTGAAGGATAAGGGTTGTGTCAGGTCAGGGCAGGGATGACTGTGCAGGACTCTGGAAGGAATCACAAGAGATTAGAACAAATGCTTGAGTTTTACCACCCTAACTATATACTATTCGGTTCTGTGTGACTTATACCACAGATGTCCCAGAGTTTTAAACTATTTGCAGTTATTATTAAATGTAATATGTTATAGATATGTTTATCATCTTATAGTAACATTTATATTCCACATGCTTATAAGGATATGCTACAGTATATATCATTTACATATTAATAATTACCAAACATTGATATTTAATCCGAAATCTTCAAAGACTAGAAAATGGAGGTGCCTTTTCCTTATGTCATACCGCATGCCTGCAGGGAAGTAGAACAGGACGATATGTGACTATGGGCTCAGAAGACCGTTGCTCTGACACTCACTCAGTGTGATGCGAAGATTCTCCATTGCCTCCCCTATAAAAGAAAAGTGGTTGGACAGTGGTGCCAGCACTCCTTCCACCCATGATTCTGTGATACACTCGGGCTTCTTCACTTAGGCATCCACACCCGAACGGGTCAGACAGCCCGATTTCCCCCCACTGAGCTGATTCGCAGCCCCTTTCAGGAAGGTGGAAGGCTTGGAGACATGCCTTCTTGAGAAAGCAAATACGTTATTCATCTTGTCAAACTTTTATAAAATGAAAATTGTTGGCAGAAAGTATTTAAAGATATCTTTTTTCTCCCCTGTTAAATAAAAACCTAATTACTAAATGTGGAGTGGGATCTCTAGGTTGATGGTGAGGAAATTGGCTTCTCATCTGACTTCCACTTCTAGCATGAAACTAGGATGACAACAGAGCAAACAGAATAGAAAACTGCAGGGGATTTTCAAAGTTCGTGGCTCTCACAGATACCCTCTTTGGCCATCGAACTTCCTTTGGCCTAGAATTCAATTGCTTGTGGTGTTTCTCTCCTTTCTTTAATCATTATTCCTACAAGTGTATGAATAGGTTAAGATAAACACACATTCACATAAAACATTTATTATTTCCAATAAATTCTGGTTTCTGTGAACAATAAGAAAAAAAGAGTCATTTGACAGAGACTATAATAAAATGTGTTCCTATACTGGCTGCTTGGTGTTGTTTAGACTTCAGGAACGGTGGGAAATATTAGAAGCAAGTGCTGGTTGACACCTGTTTTCTCGGGACCTGTGCTAAGTGAAAGCAATGTGCTTTGAAGGCAGCATTGCCTGCCTGTTTCCTCCTGATTTTCAGATCATCGTTACAGAAACTTAGTGACCTCACTAAGTGCCAGATCATGGGATAGCCCCAGGAAAATAATGTCACGGTCCCCGTCCTCCAGGTTTTCAGTCCCATGGGGAAGCAAGACA